TATGGGATGGGGCTCACAGGAAAATTTATACCTGTGAATATCTACATTAAAAATAGAAGAAAGATGTAAAATCAGTAACCTAACTTTCCGTTTCAAGAAATTGGTCAAAGAAGAGCAAACTAAACCTAAAACAATCTGAAGGAAGGAAATAATAAAGATTAGAATGAAGAATTGAAAGCAAAGCCTCAGAGCTATCTGCACACCCATGTTCATAGAAGCATTATTCACAATAGCCAAAAGGTGGAAGCAATCCAGCTGTCCATTGATGGATAATTAGATAAACAAAATGTGGTCTACACACATGCAGGCACACACACACAGGAATGTTATTTGGCCTTAAAAAAGAAAGGAACTGAACTGGGTGCCTGGGTGGCTCAGTTGGTTAAGCAACTGCCTTCGGCTCAGGTCATGATCCCGGAGTCCTGGGATCGAGGCCCACATCAGGCTCCCGGCTCAGCGGGGAGCCTGCTTCTCCCTCTGACCTTCTCCCCTCTCATGCTGTTTCTCTCTCTCTCTCTCTCAGATAAATAAAAATAAAATCTTTAAAAAAAAAAAAAAAGAAAGGAACTTTTGAAACATGTTACAACGTGAATGAACCTTAAGGACATTATGCTAAGTGAAATAAGCCAATCACAAAATGACAAATACTGTGTGATTCCACTTATATGAGGTCCCTAGAGTAGTGAAATTCATAGCAACAGAAAGTAGAATGGTAGTTGCCAGGAGCTGGGGGAGGGAAAGAGATGGGGTTATTGTTTAATGGGTACAGAGTTTAACCAAAAAAAGAGAGTTCCATGGATGGATGATGGTGATGGTTGCCCAACAATGTGAATGTACAGTTGACCCTTGAACCACGTGGGGTTTGAGGTGCCAACCCCCAGAGCAGTCAAAAATCTGTGTATAACTCCTGACTCCCCCCAAACTTAACTACTAATAGCTTTACTAGTAACATAAATAGTCAAGTAACCCATATTTTGCATGTTACATGTATTCTATATTGTATATAATAAAGTTTGCTAGAGAAAGGAAAATGTTATTAAGAAAATCATAGAGAACATAGTTATTGTACTATATTGTATTTACCGAAAAAAATCTATGTATACATTCAAACCAAAATGATTCAAGGGTCAACTGTCCTTAATACCACTGAATTGTACATGTAAGAATAATTAAGATGGTAAGTTTTATGTTGTATATATTTTACCACAATTTTTTAAAAGATTTGAGTGAAAAATAATGTAATAGAGAACAGAAAAACAGTACAGGAGGTCAAATAAACCAAAATTTGTTTCTTTGAAAAGTTGAGCAAAACTGACAAACCTTTAGCTAGATTGACCAAGGAAAAAAAGAGAGAAGACTCAAATTATGAGAATCAGAAAGAAAAGAGGGGGACATTATAACCAACCTTACAGAAATGAAAATGATTATAAGAGAATATTACAAACAATTGTATGCCAATAAATTTGATAACTTAGATGAAACAAATTCTACAAAATACACAAATGACAGAAACTGACTCAAGAAGAAATAGAAAATCTGAATAGACCTATAACACAAAAAGAGATTGCATTCATAATTTTAAAAATCTACCCAAAAAAGAAAACCCAAATTCAGATGGCTTCATGAGTGAATTCTACCAAACATTTAAAGATTTTTTTAAAGGTTTTATTTATTTATTTGAGAGAGAAAGAGAGAGCATGATGGGGGCAGAGGGAGAAGCAGACTCCCTGCTGAGCAAGGAGCTCGATGTGGGGCTCAATCCCAGGCAGACGCTCACCTGACTGAGCCACCCAGGTGCCCCTAAAGAAGAATTAATATTAATTCTTCACAAACTCTTCCAGAAAATAGAACAGGATAGAACACTCCCCAAATCATGGAACTGGTAATTACTACTTGAAAGCAATATACTAAGTGAAAAAATCCAGTGACAAAAGACTGCATATTATATGATTCTATCTTTATGAGATGTCCAGAATAGGCAAATCTATAGAGATATAAAGTAGAATATGAGTTCCTAGGAGTTGGGGAACCGGGGGGTAGTCATAGCTAAAGAGTATGAGGTTTCTCTTTGGGGTGATAAAAATGTTCTACAATTGGGACACTTGGCTGGCTCAGTCGGTAGAGCACGCAACTCTTAATCTCAGGGTCGTGAGTTCAAGCCCCACACTGGGTGTAGAGATTACTGAAATAAATAAAATCTTTTAAAAAAGTGTTCTATAATTGATTGTGGTAATGGTTGAGCAGCTCGGTGAATATACTAAAAAATCATTGACTTGTACATTTTAAATGGGTCAATTATATGGTATGTGAATTATATCTCACTAAAGGTCTTACCAAAACAAGCATTCCCACTCCACTTTTAAATATTATATATGCTGAGCTCATAATATTTCATTTGAAACAGAGGTTACTATGGCTTATAAAAGCCTTGTCTGCCCATTCCTTCATTCCGGAAGACTTATACTGAGCACCTGCTGTGTGTGGTATCTTGGGCCAGCATGGGGGTACGGAGATGAATCTAGCCCAGCACCTGCCCCTGGAGCTTGTGGTCAGCTGAGGGGTGGGGAACATCTAATTATATTCCAGCCTGCCAAAATACCTTCTACCTTGCCAAATAGGCACACTCTCCATTGTTACCCAAGGGAGAAAAAAATAATGCTAGCCAACATTTATTAAGTGCTTACCAGACACTGTGCTAAGCACTTTCCATGCATTCCTTCCTTGAATCCTCACAACATTGCTATGTGTTAGTGTTCTCATCAGCTTTGTTCTACAGATGATGAAACTCTCATGAAAGGTGGAGGAAGTCCTTGGGCCTGCAGTAGTCTCTGATAGAATCAGGTCTGAGGTGGAGCTGGAAGAGGGCCTCTGCCAGCTCAAGAGGGAAACTGAGGCCCCACAGGCCATGAGCGTCGCAGCCTGGATTGGTATAGATGCTCAAGAAAGCAAAGAGCATGGAGGTCCCAAGACTGGGGTTCTCATAGACGTTCTGCCCTCTCCCCAGCACTTCAGCTCTCTGAGACTCTGTTTCTTCACCTGTAAAATGGGTCCCGTACTTCTTCTGCAGAGTGAAGACACTATGTAATCCATATAAAGGAATATAAAGGAAGAACCAGGGTTTGCACTGTGCTGGAGATCAAGAGGCACTGAGGTCAGGGACCGTCTGCCCCCACATTTAGTAGAGGGCCCAGGCGTGCACACACACTCACACACACACACCTTCACCACCCCTCCACCTCTGCCTCATCATCCCTTGCCTTTGGACACTGGTCACCCTTCTTCCAACAACCTGCCAAGCCCACTCAAGCCGTCCTCTTCCTGGAAGCTTTCCCAGGCTGCCAGCTCAGAACAGGCACACCTCCTCAGAGCCCCAAGAGCCCCTGTTGGTGTCTGAATGTCACCTGCTGGCTAGGGTTAAAATTCCGGCACCTCCACAGACTGGCTCAATGATTCTGTATGAGTGCTTGACTCACTCAAAGCATTATATAACAAGAGGCTAATGAGAGACTTGACACACTGGGTAATTGTGAGCACAGGCTGTAGGCAGGAGATGGTGAGGGAAGTTTCCAAGGTACAGTAAGTGAGAGTCCCCTCACAGGGGCTCAGCTGGGGAAGGTACAAGGGGCTGCTGCCTGGGTAGGCCAGGGGCACATCCTTGAGGACCAACCAGATCCCTAGCTGCCTGTTTGATCCTCATCCCATCGGGAGAACCCCTGGGGGGTAGGGGCCTTACCCTGTGCTGAATCTCCTCATGCCAAGGGCCCCTCGTTTACTGCATATACTGAGGGCAGACAGGGCCCACTAGAGTGTGGGGTCTGGAGGACAGCCATCAGTGGGCCAGCTCCCATACGCAGGGTCAGGGGCGGACTTCTCTTGACCAAGGGTGAGTGGAGGCTGAGATCACTGGTATACACAAATCCCCAGGACTTTTACTAAAATGCAGTTATGGGTTGGGCCTAAGATTCTGCATTTCTAACAAGCTCCCAGGTGACACTGATGCAGCAAGGACCTAAAGCATGGCACAGCTATTTCTGAGAGGAGCAATGAGCAACAAGCTCATCTCGGCCTCCCATTGGTCTGGAGGCACCCAGCCCCACCCAACCACACCCTGGGCTTCCACCATCTGGAGGGTAAGACTACATGGATTTTCTGAGTTTCCAAGATCCCATTTCCATTACATATGTAAAATAAAAGTAAAAATACACATTATAAAAACATGAGAAAATATGAAAAAATAGTAAGAAAAAGAATCACGGATCCATCTTGTACTGTATTTAAAATGATCTTAACCTCTCTCCCCAGGAGGTCAAAGCCATGTCTGTCGGAGTCAGGAGTCATTCTGTGAGTGGGATCTGACCCCAGGAGCCCCACGCTGTCACAGCGAAGCACTGGGTGGGAGACAGGGGCTGCTCTCCACACTCCCGATCTCCTGGCCCCTTCCCACCCTATGAGAGATGCCCAGCCTGCGGTGCCTGAGGCCTTCACCCAGACCTACCCTGAAGACACAAAGAGGGGGGCAAGGACCTCTCACCTCCCCCCTCACAGGCAGGAGACTGAGGAAGCACTACAGCGGAGGAGAGAGAAGTGGGGTCTGGGGGAGGGGGTACACATCTGGATTCCTGGCCCAGAGCCCGCATTCCTTCCCTGTGAGTGTGAGGAGATGGGGTCTCTCTCGGGAGAGCTGTGAGGAGGCTGCTGGCCCCCGTCCTGCCCCGCTGTAACAGGCCGCACCCTGGCAGGAAGACTGGTGGAGACGTGAAGGCCCGGAACCTCATTTGGGCGGCCCTCACCCCAACTGCTCACTAGCCAGGGCAGGCCCAGGCTGGGGCTCTGTCCCAACCACACCAGCCAACCTTGCCTCAGAAATACCAGAGGGGAGAAAAAGGTGGAGACCTGAGGGCCACAGGGCCACTTGTTTGTGGAAGGGGCCCTGGGGCGGGGAGTGTGTGGGGTGGGGGACTCTTGGGCCTGTTCTACCCAGGGAAGCAGGGCCGCCTTACCTGGGGGCAGTCCTTGATGTAGTGTCCTTTGTTGAAGCACAGGTGGCACAGGTAGTTGGGTGGGGGCCGCTTGCTGGGCTTGCGGGTCTCAGAAGTGAGGGTCAGGTCCGAGAAGTGCTCAGTGAGGGAGCTGAGGCCATCGGCGATGTTGTTGAGGGAGCCGTAGGGCGAGGCGCTCTTGTACATGCTGCTGCTCGGCGCCTGTGGGGAGACAGAGGCTGTGAGGGCTGCCCAGGCCTCATTTGCAGCTCATTTGCGGCTGTGGCCTCAGGGCAATGTCCACGGGCACGCACATGCACATGCACGCTCGTGAATTCACACTGACTCCTGAGCTGCCTGGGGGCTCCGGCCTCCTGGAGCCTGAGTTCATGTTCTAACTGTAGCTGTACGTCCGTGGGCAAGCCAGTGAACCACTCTGGGCCCCAGAGGCCCCCTCTGGAAACCGGAAGTAATGATAGCCACCTCCTGGGGTGCCTCTGAGGCTAAAGTGAGGTCCCTTTATCTCCCACCTGGCACTTAGGAACCACTCAGTAAGCAGTGAGGAGGGGGAGGAGGAGGTGGAGGAGGATTATTAGTTCTTGCCAGGAGGTAAGAAGGCATAGCAGAAAGCCACCTGTTAGATCTGGGGCTCTGCCTTTTACTAGGGCTTTAAACAAGTCACTTAGCTCTGAGCTGACTCAGTTTCCCCATCTTACAAGAAAGATGAGCATCGGCTTGTAGGATTGTTTCCATTGTACAGAAGAGAAGACTGAGGTTCAGCACTCTGCCTGGTCTCCTGTGGCACGAGGCCTGTGCAGACTGTGTCCGGGGAGCCCCGGGGCTGGCCCAGGCCCACCCTCTGGGAGCCTGGGAAGAAGCGGCCCACCTCGCCCACCTCTCCCACCTCCAGCTGACAGGAACCAGATGTCTTGCCTGACTTCAAAGCAGATGCGGCCCAGGCCCCCTCCTGGTGTATACAGCCTCTATTTATAGGAGTCACGGGCTCTGGGCAGCCAGGCACACTGGAATTTGGCAAAGGTGGGGCCTGTGGTGAAGCTGGCAGGGAACAGCCATGGTCCCCTCTTCCTGGGGCAAGGCCAAGGTTGTAAAGAGGCAGCTCCTGCAGGAGGGTCAATGACAAACCTGGGCATGGGGCCTGGGCATCCTCTGGTCCCAGCTCAAGTGCTCAAGGACTCCAGGAGGGAACCATAGACCTTGGGGAGCCTTGAGTCTAATGGGAAGACAGCCTTGTTCCTGGAAGTCCCCAGGCCGCTAGGGGAAGAGGGCCCCCGAGAGGAGGTGGCCTCAGGTCCCCTTACGAAGATGGGGCAGGTGGAGGCTCAGAGTGGGCACAGTCCTGCCTGTGTCCCCTCAGTGTGGGCAGGGAGGGAGGGGAGCTGAGAGCAGGCCCCAGGAGATCAAGTACCCCTCCCCCAACCAGGACAGATGCCACCCCTCCCACATGTATACCTCAGCCTCCCTACTTGTTCCATCTCTGGGGGCCTGGCATTCCCTCCTAGAGGACACAGCCCTCACCATCTGGGGACCACCACTCTTCTTGGCTCCCTGGACACTCTGCTATGTGGCCTGGGGCCAGTCTTTCCCTCTCCAGGCCTCTTTTCCCTCTCCTACAGGTTCAGACTGGAGCCTAGGATCTGGAAAAAAAAGACACAGATACCACATCCAAGGCATCCAGGCCAAACACATAGTCAGTCAGCCTATGATGTCTGGGCACGAAACTCAAAGGCTCCTGATGACCATCTCCACTCTACCACTGCCCAGGGCTACCATGAAACCCAGGACCAGTGGAAAATACCACACAAACTTGCATTCAGTGTGAGGGCAATTCTCCAGCTCTCAGAGGAGCCAAGAGAGAGTGGTCCATCCTGACAGGCAGACAGTCTCCCATCCCTGGAGGTGTGCGAGCCGATTCTGGACAACCTTAAGGGTTGTGCGGAGGGGTCCAATGGCCATGGGATTCGATGATACCAGTCACATCTACTGAGCACTTACAATGTCCCAGGTACTGGAAACTGTACACTTACTAAGATAGCTAATGCTCACCACAACCCTATGAGTCACTATCCCATTTTACAGATGAGGCAAGTGTGTCCAAACTTGCATTGAACGCCTTGAGAAACTTTTAACAAATACACTTTTCTAGGCCCCACCTCAGACCTACCTACCAAAGCAGTCAGTCACCTGGGACCGAGAGCCTAGAACCTACCGTTTTATTGTGGTGAGAAATACATTACATAAAATCGACCATTTTAATTATGTTTTCAAGCATACGGTTCCATGGCACCTGAGTACATTCCCGTGACTGTGAGACCATCACCACCATCCATTTCCAGTACTTTTTCATCATCCCAAACTGCAACTCGTCTCCCGCTGACACACTAACTCCCCGCTCCTCCCTCCCCCAGCCCAGATCTGCATGTTCAAGCTCCCCAGGGCAGTCTGTCCAGACCGCCAGGCCCTACCTGGCCTCAGGAGCACCTGGACTTTCCACCCACCCAGGTTTTTCCTTAGCTTGAATGGAGGCCCCTCCTCACCCAAACTGGCCTGAGGGAGGACAGCATCACCACGGCCTCCCGGAGAAAAGTTCAACCAAACAAGAAACTCCAAGCTCCAAATGGTGTGACTCACCCTCATGGCTGGGAAATGCAATTTCACAAATAACAACCCTCTTCATTTTTTCCCCCGTTCTTTCTTTTCTTTTTTTCTTTCTTTTTTTTTTTTTTTTTTTTCTGGATAAGATTTAAGCAAGTTCACAGGAATCAGGACTGTTTTGGCAGCAAACTGTCAAGAGGAAAGGGAAGTCTGGTGGGTGCCAGAAAGTGCATTAATTACACCCTGAACAGCCTCTCCCCCGTCTTGTGGCCACACTGCCCTGCCCACGGGTGACCCCTCGGGCGTCCCTGGGCAGCCAGAGGCCTCCGAGCAGCCTGTCCTCTCCCCAGCAGCTTGACGCCCGCACCCCCCACCTCACGAGGGTCACAGCTTCTGTCCCATGAGCAGCTCCGGGGAGAGAAGCGCAGTTAGAGCTCTCCTCTTCACCGCCTCTCCCCCCCTCCCTTGGGTGCTCTGGTCCATCTGTTCTGGCGGCTCCGGCTCCCCAACTCAAGAGGACACCACCTTTGAGCAGGAAGGACAGAGCAGACAGCTGACCCGACCGCTCTCACATTCCAGATGGAGAAACTGAGGCCCAGAGCAGCCCGGGGCACAGACCAGGGCACACAGCCAGGCCCGAGGGCCATGAGTCCTGCTTGCCGGCTGGCTAAAAGGGCGGGTGCAGCAGCAAGCTGTTTCCTCTCCGAAGCCCCAAGGAGCTCCGGCCATGGAGGTGAAAGGCGAGTTGCCTCTCAGCCCTCTCCATGGCCTGTGGGGACTGGACACGCCGTGTTCCCTCCTCTCCAGCTGCGGAGTCAAGCCCGGCCTCGGGCTTCCCATCTGTAAACTGCAACCCAGAACAGGGACGGAGGGCAACATGGACGATCCCAGCAGTCCTGCTTTCTCAGGGTCCAGACACCAGCTACTGAAAGACACCCCCAAAGCCTGACACACAGAGGGCACTTGGTCCCCATGGGCACCTTGTGTTCCGAGTCCTGCTGCCTATAGCTGGAGGCTGAGGCCCAGCGGGAGAGGCCCTTCATCAGGTAGCTCCTAACTCTTAAAACAGCCATGCTGCTCCTCCTGGTGTCCCACGGGGCACCTGCTTCCTTCCCTCTAGTTCTGAACTGGTGTCCCCCCCACAGGATGCCCTCTCTTGTGTCCATCCAACCCCCTTCAGGACCTGGCCCTCGATCTGGTCGTAACTCTAGTGGTGTGGCCTTGAACCCACCCCTTCCGCTTACTCAGGCCTCAGATGCCCCTGCCTCCTCCAGGGGCCTCCTGGACCTCACGGCCTCCTGTCTGGCAGGGCTAGGCTGGGTGGGGATCACCCTGTGACTCTGCTGACCCTTGACCAAAGGAGCTCTGAAGCCTCTTCATTTCCCCACAAGGCTGGACATATCGAAAGGCAAAGATTCTGCAACATTTGGTCACCCCCAGAGCCCAGACTGTTTCTGCCATTCCTCACACCTGCCACTGTCCTGGGTGCAGACCATCACAGGCAGAGAAGGGTCTGGGAACCCTACTTGACAGACGAGGTAATGCATGCCCTAACACCTTAGAGATTTAGGTTGGGGGGTCTCCGAGTTGTCATGGACTAAGTCAAAGGCACTCTCACCCTAAAGATTAAGCTGCTCTGGGCACTGGTTAAGGGCAGCCCCACTACTGTGGTGGATGGAAGCCACTGGACCCAAATCACCAGCCTGAAGGAAGAGACCACCTCTCCCTCCTCCCTCCTCCCAGCAGCTAGCAGGAAGTGTGGGATCCTCATACCATATCCGGGGGACAGAGCATCGGGCTCCTGCCCATCACTGGAACTTCTCCGAGGCTCTGGCTTGGCTGTTGGGGAAAGTTAGAAAGGAAGATGCTGAAATCTATTCCGATTCTGCCTGTGTCATAGACTTGACTGGATCCTTTCGCTTTCTTGGTTTTCTTATACCTGTAAGAACACTATTTGGATGGGCATTATTGGCTCCATTTTACGGAGCTGGAAACTGAGGCTCAGAGAGGCTGAGCAACTTGCCCAAGGTAAAAGAGCCAGCATGTGGCTAAGGGGAGATTCCCACCCAGATGAGCTGGCCTGTTATATTTCAGCTCCCACATGGCTTCCAAGGCTTGGCTTCTCCTACAGTAAGGAGAGCCAGAGGAAAACACAGGTGGGGACCACTCTCCCTGGGCCTGCGACTTCATGTTGCCAAGCCCCTCGGCCCTGGCAAGATGAGGCACCACCTTCTCTGTGCTGTGTGAGGGGTCTGGGCCCTCGGGCTGGGGGTTCTGCGGAGGGACCTGGGGTGTGGAGGCCGAGATTTCCAGGGCTGACTCAACCTGCCATGCTGTGCTTTCTCCTTTCCCCCCCGTCCCAGGACAGGAAGAGGGCACAGCGGGAGGGGGGCAGACAGGAGTGAGGGCAAGTGCAGAGAAGTCTGCTCTGGAGAGAAGAGAGGAGAGACAGCCGGCAGAGGTAGAAGCACACCCACAGAATAGGACACGGCAGTGGGCAAGGCCATGAGAAGGGGAGCGTCTGAGGACGTGTGGCCGGAGCAAAGGCTTGAGTCCTGCCTCCTCCCCGGGCCAGAGATGGCCCTGAAGGGGGGGGGGGGAGGGACTCT